CCGTCCCAGGAGAGCTCCGGGGATCGGGATCGCGGGGATCGGGGGGTGCGGGGAGAGCTGGATTTGCTGTGGAGTGAGATTTGCTGCTCGTTGGCCTTGGCGTTGGTGTGAGCAGAGTCCGAAGTCAGCCCAGACTCAGTCCCAGCGCGGGCACAGCGCGGGTCACTGCCCTGTCCTGGAGCACAGCCCACCCACCAGTTTGCTAGGGGCAGGGAATCACCTGGCACAGCTCCTTACGAAACCCACCGCGTTTTCCGTCCTCCAGTGGAGGTCTGAAGAGTCCTCAAGTTCCCCACCTACATCAGGATAGACTATGTACAAACTGGATTTCAGTCAAAGTTCATAAACCATCAGTGCTCATGAAGTTAACAAGAAACGTGGCAAAATGTGATGAAATCAGCCGTGGTATTTATAGTGGGGCTGTCTGTGTCTAATAGAATTTGTGGCTTGAAACGAATGGGATGGCCACTTATGCCTTTAGTTCTCTGCAGATATTTTTTTTCTAGTTATCTGCATAACATGCACAAGGAGTGCTAAAAACAGTGCAGGTGGTCACACAGCATGGTGGGAGGGACTGGTGTGTCGCTGGGATGGCGTAAGTAACACAAATGAAACACAGAGGGTTACAGAATAAATACAAATATTTGTATTTATATAAAGTCATCACTGAGAAATGGCCTTTATTGCTAGCTGTAAAAGCCAAGCAGAGACACTTCCTATTAAACACAGCTTGTGAGGGGAAAAAAGCCCTTAGGCAGGGTGAGAAAAGTTTCCATGGTCTAGTGGTTGTTTCCACATTTTTTCCACATACTGTCTACCAAAACTGTGAATATTTCTAATTAAACAAAAGAATACAGATAGTATTACATGCTGGAAACCAGCACAAACTTCAAAGCTAATGCACTTTACTTGTGCTTCAATATTGTAACTGGAGGGAAGGTCACTGTCACTGCTGTTCCCAGAGGTCCTTACATCGCCTCTGGCTCTCGCACCAGTGCAGTCACCACTGCTGTAACTTGGCTCATGGTTCACACAGGGTCACCTTTTCATCCCTTCCCCACAGCGAGAAGCATGTGCAGCCAGCACCTTGGTTTTGTAGGGTTGTTTGGGGCAGGTTGGTTTGGGTTTGGGATGCTTTTGATGTTGTTTCTTTCTTATTTCAGCTAAACTTCATTACTTAGTAAACTGGTTCATTCAGCTACAGGAGAAGGACAAGGTCAAAGAGTTGCTTCTTGTCTCTGTGGCTGGCAACAGTGAGCTTTTCAGCTCATAATGAAGTTTGTTCTGTGGTCCCAGACCAGCCTGAGGAGACTATGCATGGCTCAGGGATCCTGGGCACTGTGGGATAAAGAAGGAGAGATGAACAAATCAGGGCCACCCCACAATGTCATGCTGAGAGTGAAAGATTTACTAGGAGAAATAAACCAGAATAATAATTCAGAACCAGAAAGCAGAAACTTTGTTTCCTGCCCAGAACAGGTTTTGCAATTCGAATCAAGGGAGACCATGGAGGATCCCCTCATGCAACTTCAGGCACTACAAATCACTGTGTTTCACTTTAAAACAAGTCTTAACTTTGTTAACAAAGTCCTGATTTCATAGTTCTGCACCCCAAATGAGTGTCCCTGCAGTTAGTGGGAGCCTGTGCAGTCCTGGAGGGTTGTGTGACTGTCTGCAAGTGCCTCTCTACATGTGACCTAGTGTCCTGTGGGGAAATTCTGCATCATGCCTTAGTAGATGGAAAACTGTGGGTGTCCTGGGAGAGCTTTTTCCAGCCTGTGCATGCTGATAGCTTCCCTACTAGCATTGGAAAACTGACCCTAGCATTGCTTGCTTGCTTGTTTTCCAGGTCGTGCACTGCTGGTCCTCCTCTTGTCCGCAACGGTGTCTCTCCTGGGAGGGCTGATATTTGGATATGAGCTGGGGATAATCTCTGGTGCACTGCTGCAGTTGCAGATAGATTTTCACCTCAGCTGCTTCAAGCAGGAAGTCGTGGTGAGCGCTGTCCTTATCGGAGCGCTCCTCGCCTCTCTGGTTGGGGGGATCCTCATCGACCGCCACGGCCGGAGGAGAGCAATCCTGGTCAGCAACTTGGTCCTGTTGGTTGGCAGCCTGATCCTCACGCTGGCAAGATCATTTATTGTGCTGGTCATCGGGCGCATGACCGTGGGCTTTGCCATCTCTGTCTCATCCATGGCCTGTTGCATCTACGTCTCAGAAATGGTGGCTGCTCATCGGCGAGGGCTGCTGGTGTCTCTGTACGAAGCAGGTATCACTGTAGGCATCCTGCTGTCCTATGCACTGAATTACATCTTTGCAGACGTGGATGAAGGATGGAGGTACATGTTTGGACTGGCCATTGCCCCAACAGCCATGCAGTTCCTCAGCATCCTCTTTCTCCCAGTGAACCCTGTTAAATTAAGCTCATGGGACTCGGACTGCCAAAAGGGCCTCATTCAGTTGCAGGACACTGAGGACAGGGCAGCAGCAAAGCGTGAGCCCTATCAGGAGAAGCATTACTCATTTCTTGACCTTTTCAGGACCAGAGACAACATGAGAAGGAGGACTCTGGTGGGCCTGGGACTGGTGCTCTTCCAGCAGTTCACTGGACAGCCCAATGTGCTGGGCTATGCCTCCAAAATCTTCCACTCGGTGGGATTCCAGAGCAACTCCTCGGCAATCCTGGCCTCAGTTGGGCTGGGGGCAATAAAGGTGGTGGCCACGCTGGTTGCAATGGCCTTGGCAGACAAAGCTGGCAGGAGAGTGCTGCTCATGGCTGGCTGTGTGGTGATGGCCATCTCAGTCACCACTATTGGCCTCACCAGCTGCATTGCTCCACTGGCCATGGCCAGGGACTGCAAAGCAGCCACAGATCTCAATGCATCCCACAGCCTCACCCAGCACCCTCTGACACCTATATTCACCCAGCCTGCTGTGTCACCCATCCCACCGGCCTCAGGTGTTGGCAGAAGTCAGGCAAGCCCTGGTTTTGCTGCCACAAGGAGCCTTACAGAAGTTTTTGCTAGTACTCAAAGCAAAGAGGTTGTTGCCAATTCTTTCCTCATTCAGAAAAGGGACTCGGTAGGTCAGTCCAATAAAGGGATAGTGGAAAGCACAGGCCCTCCTCTCGTTGGTGCTCCCTGGGCACAACATACAGTCTTAAATTGGATTACACTGCTGAGCATGATGGCTTTTGTGAGTGCCTTCTCAATTGGATTTGGACCAAGTAAGTATGGTGTTTATATTCCCTTGCTCTAACCCAGAGAGTAAAACTAGGGCTGGTCTGTAAGCTGTCTGCTTGAAACATTCCTTATGGATCTGCTCTACCAAGCAGCTCAGTGTCTGGGAACTAGAAATATGTTCCCTTCTGCCCACTGAATCATTTTCTAGCATTGCAGCTCTGCCAGCTGTAGGGCTGGTGCAGCACTAGAATGACTTTCTCTTCTGTGCTATCATTAGCCTTGTAATGTTGTGGGGTTTTTTTTCTGTGCAGCTCATTGGAAAATCAGAGCATCCCACAAGCACTGTGTAATCTTCCTGGCACCCTGGTGAGGAGGAAAATACAGGGCTGAGGACAGAGGGACTGAGGGGCTTCTGCTGTGCGATAAAATCAGTGCAGAACTAGAAGCGGAACCTCTTTGAAAGTTTCTCAATACTAGTTGGGGTTTTTTTTTCTGAAATCATTATTTATTCATCAGCTGAGATTACAGATTAGTTCCTGTTTCCATGTGAGCTGTACTGTTTTCTGGCACTGATTGCTTTAAACGCCTTGATGTGAGAAAACAGCATCTAACTCAAGAAAAATAGAAGTGAGCAAGTCTCATGGGTTTGACAGTGACCCTGTAAATTATTTCAAGCAAAATAACCCTGGGACAGGAGAGACTGCTTGAAGATACATATCACTTTAACTCTGATTTTAGCCCAAATGCAACGTTGTCTCCCTAATTCCACCCCTTGCTCATTTCTTTATAGACAACATGTTCTGACAGCAGGTCTGCCAGATCTTTTCCATCTCCTGTGAATATAATGACCAACTCTCCAGTTTTATTCTTTGCTCCCTGGGCCTGTTCGTTGCTATTTCATTCCTCCATGGAGTGCTGAACACGGGAGGTTTGAAATGTTCTGCTGTGACCTGTCTGTGAGATCGATGAGTGTTTGACGCCACCAGCAGTGGGTGCTGGGTGAAGCCAGAGTTTAAACCCCCTGCTGAAATCTCCCTTGCCCATTTCCCAAACAAATTGCTTAACTCCTACACTGTCTTTCTGATCTCTCTAATCCATGCAGTGACCTGGCTGGTCCTCAGTGAGATTTACCCTGCTGGGATAAGAGGAAGAGCCTTTGCCTTCTGTAACAGCTTTAACTGGGCTGCTAATTTACTGATTAGCCTCTCCTTCCTTGACCTTATTGGTAAGTAGCCACTCCCCCTCCCTTCACCTCCCATAGCTGGTTGGGGAAGGTGGCCACCGCGACCCATTTGGAGATTAAGTGGAATTTTGAACCCTGTGGATTTGAGGCTGGAATAGGTGTGACCCTGCTGCCCCCAAGGCAGAAAAGCCAAGCACCAGCAGCACTGGTCTGAGCGACTCCATCACCCTTTGATCAAAATCATCCATTGCCCACTGGGCTGCACTGTAGCACTGCTGTATCAGGAAACCATGGAGTTTGCAGCTTCCATGCTGGCAGCTTTACAACACTTTTTCATAGCAGAGCCCTCGGTTAAGGCACTCAGCAGGCACTGCTGCCCTGGAGCTTGGCTGCCTTCTCCTTCCCTCTGGTGCTGGCAAAGTCTGGCATGAAACAGCCTTTGCCTTTGCTGATTCCTAGTCCAGGCCTTGCAAATAAGGAGTTTCCCTGCCCTGTTCAGGGCTTCACAATGCCCTGTCAGGCACCAATGACAACCTCACAGTAGGCAACCAGTGTCCTTTATATCCCATGACTCACTTTCTGCCTTCATGTACTTGAATCTCTATGCAGATGCCATTGGTTTCTCTGGGATGTTTCTTCTCTATGGACTGATGGGAGTGATGGCTGTTATATTCATTTACCTTTTTGTTCCGGAAACAAAAGGACAATCCTTAGAGGAGATAGACCAGCAGTTCTCCAGAAAACGGTATGTGTGGTGCTGTCCCAGCATAAGTGCTGGCTTTGGGCATTTGCCACCTGCAGCCCCTGAGGTCTGTGGCACTGTGCACCCCAGGGCTGTTGCAAAGCCTGGTCAGTGCTACTGAAAAGAAAGTTTTTAGTAGGGCTCTGGATGGGGTGTGAGAGCTGTAGCACTGTTCTCCTTGCAGCTGTGGTGCTGGAGGGCACTAGTGACACTTGGGAGGAAAAGGGCTAAAAATCAGGGCTGGTGGTTGAGGAGAGGAGTGCAGGACCACAGCATGGGACAGGCAGGTCAGGACTGGGAGGAGGCAGGAGGAGATGATAGTCCTGTTGTTTCACCCTAGACTAATCCTAGAGTGATCCTTCTCCTCTGGGGCAGACACATCTGGTGTAACACCTGGTAATTTTTACAGAGCCTGTAATGGGTGAGGGAAGATCAAGAGGTGTGTGTGCCATCCTGGTTGCGATGGAGGTGGCAGGGCAGGCACTGCCAGAGCAGGGTGAGGTTGTGCAGCCACACGGCCAATGCTAAGGGGTTTGAGCACACATCTCTTGAGGGGGACAGGAGGGGTAACTGCTGTGAGCCTTGCCTGGTTCCTGCCTCCCTGGGCACAGCAGCTTCTGCAACTGACGTTTCCCACTGCCTGTCAGGGTGTGGGAAGGAAATGTGTTCAAGCAGAGACGTGGAAGAGGAGCAAACTGCACACACATGCAGTACCAGAGAGTGGAGCACACCAGCAGCACATGAAACCAACGACAGCCCACAGTACCTTGTCTGAGGAGTTCTACCAGGAAAGAAGCAAGCTGGGCCATCAGGACTATTCTTTTCTGTGACCTTTAACTGGTGACCCCGACTCAGAGACAGTTCTCCCTGCAGTGCCCTACATCTGGGGACATGGCAATAGCTGTCCTTTGCGTCCTTGGAGAATCGTTGATCCCAGGCAGAGAACACACCCTTTCATATCTTTTAATTTTCCATCATTTGTATCTCCTATCATATAAGAGATTAATGGTTTTGTACGCAGGAATTAAAGCACAACTTTTGCTGACAATGCTGTCCATCAGTGCAGTTCATTTGCGAGCGAGGTGTGTTATTTTCCTGTTCCTCGAAATACTGGGACCGGGGAGGGACGTGGACCTGGATCGGGTGCACCTCGGCGTGTCTG